AACAGAGCAGAAGACAGCCGCGTTGACGGTGGGAGAATAAGAGAAAGAGAAAGTGAGAGAAAAAGAGAAAGAAAGAAAGAAAGAAAGAAAGAGAGAGAGATAGAGATAGATAGATAGAGAGATAGAGAGACAGAGAGAGAGAGAGAGAGAGAATGTTGTTGACTTAAGTGGTTGCAACAAGATAGCAGGATACTAAAGTTAGTGGCAGTATCACATGCTATTTTTAGTGATGTTGATAAATAACAGTAATTATAACTGTTAATGCTCGACAATAAAAATGGCAATAATGATAACGATGATAACCGCAATAATAAAGATAACAATGAGTAAAACGGTAATAACTATACGTATTACTACAGCGCATGAGACAAAGACAAATAACAGAAAACATGAAATAAAAAAAACATAGGAAAAAATAACAAAAAAAGAAGCAAAAAACAGATGAAAGAAACGAGCAAGAAAAACAATTACCCCCACACACCCCCTACCCCCCCCTCTCCCCATCCCCCCCAACCACCAACCCCCAACCCGACACCAAACAACTTCTTTCTATGCTTAAAATACAGACATTAACGCCTACCCTCCCCCTCCCCCCTTTCCCCCTTCCCCCTTCCCCCCACCGGAATGCCCCCCCACCCCCACCCCCCCGCTCCCCCACCCCTTTGTGAGCGCATTCCAAGTAATCAGGAACTGGAATGGGAATGAGGCCATGAATGAATAAGCGCCTGCCTGTTCGGGACGTTATCGGCCATGAATATCCATCTCAATACGAAGGATGATGGTGATAACAATATCGCTGATACTTGACAATATTAAAAAATCAATAATGAGAAGGACAGAACAATGTTTATAATGATAATGATGATGATGATGATGATGATGATGATCGTGATGGTGATGGTGATGATGATGATGATGATGATGATTATGATTGTGATGATGATGATATGATGATGATGATGATACTAATAATAATAATAATAATAACAATAATAATAATAATAATGACAAGAAAAATACAAAGGTTTTCCCTCCACAAACACCGCCGTCGGCAAGTGAGAAACCGATACAAAACCCATTGCCACTGTCCCCTCACATACCGGCCTCCTCCCCTCTACCCCCTGTCCCCTGCCCCCTTCCCCCTCCTTCAAGATACCTTGGCATCTCGACGGTTACGACCCCCTCCCCTCCTTCCCTTCCTACCTTCCCTCCATCTCCCTCCCTCCCTTCCCTTCCCTCGCTCTCTTCCCATCCCTCCTACTATCCCCTTCCGCCACCTCTCCCTCCCTTCCTCCACCTCCCCCTCCCTCCCTCCCTTCCTCCCTCCCTCTTCCCCCCCCCCCACTTTCCCCCTCTCATCCCAAGAGGGGAGAGAGTATTGTAGTCTGGCACCCGAAGGCCAGTTCAAGCCGTATGAATTCAATTTGTGATTCAACCAAATGGAATTTCAGCCCCCCCCCCCCTCTTCCTCCCTTCCACACTTGCTATTCCCCGTCACCCCCCCCCCACCTCCTCCTCCTTCTCCTCCTCCTCCTCCTTCTCCTCCTCCTCCTTCTCCTCTTCCTTCTTCTTCGTCTTTTCTTCTTGTGTTTTCCCTCTTCCTCTCTCTTATTTTCTCCCCCTATTTCTACCTCCCATCCTCCCCTTCTCTCTCTTCTTCTTCTTTCTCTTTCTCTCCCTCTCCTTTTTTCCCCTATCCCACTCTTCCTCCCCTTCTCGCCATCTGCCTCTCCTCCCCATTTCTCTCTCTCTCTCTCTCTCTCTCTCTCTCTCTCTCTCTCTCTCTCTCTCTCTCTCTCTCTCTCTCTCTCTCTCTCTCTCTCTCTCTCTTTCTCTCTCTCTTTCTTTTTGCGAGCTGATACAGAGCTAAACTTTTAGAACATGTTCCGGAAACTGGTGTTGAAGTAAGGAAGGCCTCTGCATTCTGTGCTTATATCTGTGGGAGGGGGGGGGGAAGGAGGAGGAGGAGAAGGAGGAGGAGGAGGAGGAGGAGGAGGAGGAGGGAGCGGGAGGAGTAGGAGGAGGAGGGAGCAGGAGGAGGAGGAGGAGGGAGCGGGAGGAGGAGAAGGAGGATATGGAGAGATTGTAAGTGAATTGGTAGTGAAAGGAAAGGGGGAGAAGGGGGAAGACGGAAGAGGAAGAGGGAAAAACAGGAAAAATATAATAATGCAAGACCCAAGTACACCGAAACAATGACCACAAAGCCTGAAAATGCGACCTTAATAACTGAACCAAATCGCGCGAAATAAACTGAACCAAAAAACGTACAAAAATAATAACGTACAAAAAAAAGTGTCAACAGAGAGAACTCAATAACAACCAAGACAAAAGAAACGACGAAATTGCCAGAAGGGAAAATCATATAATAACAATAAAGATTGGAAATGAAGGTCAGTGTGATAAAAGCGGGAAGACGAAGATGTAGGAAGGAGAAGAGAAGATAGCGAAAGAGAGATGGAGGAAGAGGAATAATAATAATAAAAAAATGAAGAAGACGAGAAGGAAGAAGACCACGAAATCGAGAAGGCGGAGAAGATAACGAAGACTAGGAAAATAAAAATGGAAAAAGCGAGGAGGAAGAAGAAGAATACGAAGCGCCCGCGAACAACTGGAGTGGGCGGCTGGGAGGGAATCCGAGTGGGTGGGCGGGCGGGCGGGAGTGTGGTGAGGGAGGGAATCCGAGTGGGTGGGTGGGTGAGTGAGTGAGTGAGTGAGTGAGTGAGTGAGGGAGGGAGTGAAGGAGTGAGGGAGTGAGTGAGTGAGTGAGTGAGTGTGTGAGTGAGTGAGTGAGTGTGTGAGTGAGTGAGGGAGTGAGTAAAGGTGGGTGGGTTTTGGGTGAGTGAGTGGGTGGGAGGGAGTGAGTGAGGGAGGGAAGGATGGAAAGGAGGGAATACAGATTGCAAGCAAGGAGGGAAGACAGGAGGGAGTGCGGGCGGGAGTGAGTACAGGTGGGCGGGATGCAGGGAGGGAGGGAAGGTTGGGTGGGGGGTGGGGGGGAGAGAGAACACCGCCAAGGACAGCAGCGATGCAGGGTGAAGGAACTCCCGGTTACTGACGTCCGTAGGATCCACACTTGACAACCCTTGCGGCGGGGTGGGGTGGAGGGGGTGGGGGGTAGGAGGGGGAGTACGTGGGGGGGGTACTTGGGGGAGAGGGGGGTAAGAGGGTGGGAGTACAAAGGGGTGGTAGAAGGGTGAAGGGGGGAAGGGAGGAGGGGGAGGGGAGGGAAGGGTGAAGGAGGGGAGAGAGGAAGAGTGAAGGGTGGAGGGGAGGGAAGGGTGAAGGGAAGAGAGGAAGAGTGAAAGAGGGAAGAGAAAAGGTGAAGGGGGGGGGGGGTGTTGGAAGGAGGAAGAAGGTACGAACGGGAAGTGGAAAAGGGTGGATGTCCTGGAAGGCCGAAAAGTGTGAAGAGAAGGCAAAGACTCGAGACGAATTAGGAAGACGAAGGAAGGAAAATGGACGAAGAACGAGAAGCAAACAGAAGGAAGCATGGAAGCGGACAAGACGCGAAAGAGAGGGCGATGAGAGGGCGAAGGAGCCAGCAACCGAAGAAAAAGGGAAAGTGGAAGAGATAAGAAAAAAAAAAGGAGTCAAAGAAGGAATGGAAGAGAGGGAAAGGAGGCGCGAAAGAAGGAAGGAGTTGAATAGGATGATTGGCTGGTCTAGGGAGGAGGAGGGGGGGGAGGGGGAGGGAAGGGGGGGGTCAGGTAATGGGCAATTACGTCACGAAATTCCTCGGTCGTGATTGGTCGTTTCTCGCCGCGAAGACAAACCATAGAAAAAAATTAGAACAAAAAGTGGAGGTCCAAGGTAATTTAACTATAACAGAACGAACAGACAAAAACGTTTTCGGTACGTTTCGTAAAATAAATAAATGCCATTTCTTACGAAAAGCGTAACCGAGGAATGGAGTGAGGAATGGGGGGAGGGAGGGAGGGAGGGAGGGAGGGAGGGAGGGAGGGAGGGAGGGAGGGAGAGAGAGAGAGAGAGAGAGAGAGAGAGAGAGAGAGAGAGAGAGAGAGAGAGAGAGAGACAGAGGTAGTGACCGAACTAGCGTCAAGTGTGTGAAATTCCCACAGATTTTTAAAAAATGGAGGAAAATATTGTCCATACATACAAAATTATAATTTAACTTCCGGTCTGAGGTACGGGTTAATTCCTTCAGGCACGCAAATACATACCTTCACACACACGCCTAAACACACACACATACATACACACACACACACACACACACACACACACACACACACAAATACACACACACACACAAACACACACACACACACAAAAGGAAATTTATAATATATATGAAATTCATGTAAAACTATTCTTCTAGCGAGCAACTTGCTGTAATCGTACGTGGGCGTAGTAACCTGTCAATTTCCGGAATGTGTGAATGTGCGTGTGCGCGTGTAGGAGGGAGGGAGGGAGGGAGGGAAGGAGGGAGGGAGAGAAGGAGGGAGGGAGAGGAGGGAGGGAGGAGGAGGGAGGAGGGGGGAGGGAGAGAGGGAGAGGGAGGGAGGGAAGGAGGGAGGGAAGGAGGGAGAGAGGGGAGAGGGAGAGGGAGGGAGGGAGGGAGGGAGGGAGGAGGGAGGGAGGGAGGGAGGGGAGGGAGGGGGAGGAGGGAGAGGAGGGAGAGAGGGAGAGGGAGAAGAGGAGAGAGAGAGAGAGAGAGAGAGAGAGAGAGAGAGAGAAGAGAGAGAGAGAGAGAGAGAGAGAGAGAGAGAGAGAGAGAGAGAGAGAGAGAGAGAGAGAACGCGTCCATTTCACTTTCATTCACGCTCACTCTCAAACACTCTCAGTCTTACGCTCGTCCTCAATCTCCTCCCAGTCTCCTCTCTCTCTCTCTCTATCTCTCTCTCTTTCACTCCCTCCATTTCCCACTCCGTCTCTCCCCCCTTTCTACATCTCCCACTCCCTCTCCTTTCCTCTCTCTCCCACTCCCACTCCCCCCCCCTTACACATACACACACAAAGTGAGGTCTTTACACAGGATCATGGAAAACGACCCCGACCGCTTGCCAGTGAGCCTTCGTCCAACCTACCATAAAGACGAGAATCCGGACCTTCCATCGGTTCAGTGCTTAACAAGAAGGAGCCCGCATCGTTTGCAACATTGCAATGGAATAATCTTGCAGAGTGAAACATCGCCTCGGGTGTTTATTTAGGTACAATAACGCACTTAATCTTCATTGCCATCATTTACGAAAAAAAAAAATCTGATTCATATCAAAATTCATCTCCTTGATTATTTTATCGAGTGGATTTTTTTCCTCTTTCCTATTGTGCAACACAAGAAAATTCAAAAAATAAATAACTCGCGTTGAGTTTTGCAACCTCGGGCCCCAAGATCAGCGGGATTAATACTTATCTGCTTTTGAACTTTGAGCAGAAGACCTGCTTGGGTCTCGGCGCGGACCGAATGACGCCTTTTGTGGGAGTGTCTGTGTACCTCTGTGGGGGTGGGAGAGGGGGGAGAGGGGGTTCGGGGGTGGGGCAGGAGCGGGATGTGTTGGTATGCCAGAAGGGTACTGGGTACCTCGAAACCAACCGCACAACGAGGCAATAATCGCCGGCTCTCGCTGCTGCTCTCGCTCTCGTTCTTGTACTAGTTCTTGTTCTTGCTCTCTCTCTCTCTCTCTCTCTCTCTCTCTCTCTCTCTCTCTCTCTCTCTCTCTCTCTCTCTCTCTCTCTCTCTCTCTCTCTCTCTCTGACACATGTCACATACGTATTTATGTGACCTCCCAACGAGGCAGGACCCCAAAAGGCCGACACGGGACCCCACGGAACTACATAGGACTCTGAAGAAGAATCGCAGGACTCCGTAGAATGAGTCAGCAACCAATACAACTACACATGACCCCCCCCCCCCCCCACCCCCCCCAAAAAAAAAAACGAGAGAATCCCACAGATCAACACAGGATCCCACAGAACAACACAGGATCCCACAGAACAACACAGGATTCCACAAAACAACACAGGATCCCACAGAACTAAATCGCACCCCACAGGACCCCACAGGACCTACAGACTTACACAGAGGACCCCACAAATAATGACGCAGGACCCCCTCAAAAATACACACAGGACCCAGCAGACTCACTCAGGACCTTGCCGACGACTTAACCTTCAGGAATTTCCTCCCTCAGCCTCAACCTCGCCTTCGGAATCATGTACAGCTTCGGGCGCGGTTCGGGAGTTCGGTTTTAATTAGTAGCGTGTCTTCCTGTTTTTCGACCGAGAGGGAGACGGAGAGGGAGGGAGAGAAGGAGGGAGAGGGAGAGGGAGAGGGAGACGGAGAAGGAAAGAAGGAAGGAGGGGGAGAGGGAGAGGGAGAGGGAGACGGAGAAAGAAAGAAGGAAGGAGGGGGAGAGGGAGAGGGAGAGGGAGAGGGAGAAGGGGAGAAGGAGGGAGAGGGAGAGGGAGAGGGAGACGGAGAGGGAGGAGGGAGAGGGAGAGGAAGTGGGAGCCGGAGAGGAGAGAAGGAGGGGGAGAGGGAGAGAAGGAGGGAGGGGGAGAGGGAGAAGGAAAAAAGGAGGGAGAGGGAGAGGGACACGGAGAAGGAGAGGAAGAGGGAGAGAGAGAAGGAGGGAAAGGGAGAGGGATAATGAGGGAAGAAGGAGAGGGAGAAGGAAAAAGGGAAGAAAAGGCAAGGATGAAGGTGTCACGGGAGGGAGTCAGGCATAGAAGAGAGAGGGAGAGGGAGAGAGATGGAAAAAAAATGCAGAACCAAAAAAACAAAATAAGAGAAACATCCCTTCGATTTTTCTGAGGGCATTCGGGACGCTAAAAAAAAAAAAAAAAAAAAAAAAAAAAAAAAAAAAAAAAAAAAACATCCACATCGCGGCACTGAATGTATAATTTCCGAGACGATGCCCGCGAGGAATTGAAGAAGAAACCAACGTCATCACGACCACGACGACTATAACCACACGTCCCCCCCCTCTCCCCCCTTCTCCCTGTTTACCACGAAAAACAACCGCTAGCAACCCCCTCCCCCCCCCTCTCTCCCTCTCACACACACAACCTGGACAACGACCCCTTTACAACAACTACTGCATGACGACCACCTCCCCCCCCCACGCGCCGATATGGTGACTGCCCTCTCACCACAGTGGACAGCCACCACGACGGAACGACCACCACATGGACATCCTTATTATATAAATCAGGCCTTTTTTCCACCATCGGGACGACCGCAAACGACACTTCCAATAACCCAAATAATCTCTAATTACTCCTACGACCTCCCCGTCTCTACCTAGAGTCCTCAACCCCTTTTTTTTCTCTCTCTCTCTTTTTTTACGCAGGTTCCCCTCCTTCCCCCCCTCCCTCCGTCCCTCTGGATCCTTATTCCTTTCTCTTCCCCTCCCCCCCCTCCATCCTTATTCCCTCATTGAACTCCCCCCTCTCTCTCTCTCTCCCTCTCCCCTCATTAGAAAAAAAAACAAAAAAAAACAGATCCCACCCCCACCTTTCCCCCCCCCCCTTAACCCCTCTCCTCACATAAACACCCTCCTCTGATCCCTTCCCCCTTTCACTTCCCTCCCCTCTCCCCCTCTTTCTTCCCCATTTGCCTCCCTTTCTCCCCCCTCCCCACCCACCCACCCCCTCCCCCTCCCCCCCCTCCCCCCTTCCTTCTCCATCCCGTCCAAAATCCCTCCCCCTTCCCCCTTCGCCCTCCCCACCCAACCACCCACCCTTCCCCTCCTCCTCCCCCCTCCCCCCTTCCCCCCATTCCTTCTCCATCCCGCCCAAAATCCCTCCCCTCCCCCCCTCACCCCCCCTAAAGAATGACCGTTCCCCGAGGGCACTCCGACGCCCGCGGAATGCCAATGCAACGAGACTAATTGATCCTCGAAATCATTCATCACGTGGGCGCGCGGGGGGGGGGGAGGGGCGTGGGCGTGGGCGTGATTCCTCATCTTACGCCCACGGGGGACGCGAGAGGGGAGGATGGAAGGAGGAAGTAGGGAGAGGGAAGCGAGAGGGGAGGATGGAAGGAGGAAGCAGGAAGAGGGAAGAGATGGAGGGAGAGGAGCAACGAGAAAGTAGGGAGAGGGAAGCGAGAGGGGAGGAAGGAAGGAGGAAGTAGGAAGAGGGAGGTAGGAAAAGAGAGAGAAAAGAAGGAGGACCGACGAAATAGGAGGAAGTTGAGGAGAGGGAAAAGGCGAGAAGGAAGAATACCGAAAGACGAGAAGGAGAGAATACGAAGGCGAGTGAGAGTGAGAGAGGGAAGAACAAAGAGAAAGAAGTGAAAGAGGGAAGAGGAAGGGAAGAAGAAAGAAAGAAAAAAATAAGGAAGAGGTGCCTAGATGCCTAAGAAACCTCCTTCTAGAAATACCAGTTTACTTTCCATGTTGAATCTAGTTTATGTGATTCAAACGCCATTCCTCGATTCCGTCCGATTAAAGCAGCCTATTAATTTACTGTATATGATGTACATAAAATAAAAATAAAATTAAAATAAAAAAAACACGTATCTCACTATATGCGTAGGCCTTTTTGCGTAAATTTCATCCATAAAGAACTAGGGAGAAGAAAATAATAATAATAATAATAATAATAATAATAATAATAATAATAATAATAATAATAATAATAATAATAATAATAATAATCATCATCATCATCATCATCATAATAATAATAATGATAATAATGATAATGATAATGATAATAATAATAATAAAAATAATAGTAATAATAATAATAATAATAACAACAACAACAACAATAATAATAATATTAACAATAATAATAGTAATGATAATAATAATAATAATAACAATAATAATTATGATAATAATAACAATAAGTAGAAGAAGAAACCGAAGACGAAGGAAAAGAAAAAAAAAAGAAAAAGAAAAAGAAAAAAAAAAAAAGGCGGGGGGGGGGGGGGTTGGAGGCCATTGCGAGAATTACAGAATTACCCGGATGTCGCCGCCCATTTCGGGGTCTTAGGAGAAGCTCAGGAGGAGGAGTCCAGAAGGCCATTTACAGAAATTAAAAAAGAAAGAGGGAGAGAGAGAAAGAAAGAAAGAAAGAGAGAAAGAGAGAGAGACAGAGGAGAAAAAAGGGAAAAGAAAGAAAGAAAGAGAGACGGAGGAGAAAAAAAGGAAAAGAAAGAAAGAAAGAAAGAAAGGAAGAAAGGAAGGAAGGAGAAGGAGAGAAAACGAAAACTAGGGATTTAATAATAAAGATTTATGAAATGGGACTGATAAATATTTCGAACAAAAGACATTCAATCAAAATATAAGAATTATGACCTACGCCTAAATACCTACACAAGGTCAAATAAGTAAATAAATAAAAAAGTAAAATAGAAAATAAAGTAAGAAAAAGCCAAACAAAGCATACACGAAAACACCAAAACACAAAAGCAGAAACAATCTATCTATCTATCTATCTATCCATCTATTCATTTATCAACACACAGATATATATATATATATATAATATATATATATATATATATATATATATATATATATATATATATATATATATATATACATATATATATATAAGGACAAGAGGAAGTTGCGGCCGAAAAAGTTACGATACGCGAAAATTTATGGCTTCATTTATAGCAGCTATCGCACTTGCCGGATGACTCAGCAATATGCCAAATGGTCTGAAAATGCACTCGCGGAGAGAGGGAATCTAGAGCGATCGCGGGGGGTGGGGTGGGGGTGGGGGGAAGGGAAGGAGGGAGGGAGGAGAGAGGAGGAGGGAAGGAGGTGATTGAGAGAGAGAGAGAGAGAGAGAGAGAGAGAGAGAGAGAGAGAGAGAGAGAGAGAGAGAGAGAGAGAGAGAGAGAGAGAGAGAGAGAGAGAGAGAGACAGACAGACAGACAAAGTAACAGAGAGAGAGATATAAGAGAAGAGAAAAAAAATGAGAAACGCAGAGATGATGAAAAATAATAATAATAATAATAAACAGAAGAAAAACGAACTTAGAATAAATACCGACACAAACAGACACACAAGTAAATAAAAACACGGCATAAAAAAACCTCATAGTTAATCCAAGAACTAACAAATAACAAGAGAGATCAAGCATCACCTCAAAGAGAAAAAAAAAGAAAAAAAAAAGAAAAAGAACAATAAAAGAAAAAAGAAAACAAAGAAAAATAATAATGAAAGAAAAAAGAAAAAACGAAGAAAAAGTTAAAAAATAAAGCGAGGATCAAGTGGCAACATTTTCTTTTTTGTCTTTTTTTTTGTTTTCATCCTTTTGTTGACATTAATTGTAAGTTCATTTCACTATGGATATGTCGTTATATTGTAACTAATTCCTCTTTATTCCATTACGTTACTTCCTGCCTCGCTTGTTACGTGTATGTGTCTATGCTTGAATACGTAAATACATTTATTTTCCTTTTTTTTATTTTCTTGATTTTTTTTTTTTGTTTCCTCTTTCACTTTGTGCTCTCTCTACATTTCCTATTCCCTTTCCCTCTAATTCGCTTTGCCTTCTCTTCCTTCCTCCCCTTCGTTTAGCCAAAAGGGCAGAACAGAGCGAAAGTGGAATAAGGAGAAACAAACAAACAAGCAAAAAAAAAAAAAACCTGGAAGCAACGCTACTAACCTTTGACAAGACGAGAGCAAAGAGGGGGAGGGGGGTGAAAGAGGCATGAAGGAGGGGGTAAAGTATTCACAGAATTACAGAAACAATATGCAAATTTCACATCAGCTAATATTCCCTTCAATAAAAAAACTCAACTCCTGTCCTTTGCAACATAGTATAATTGCTGGAAATATACGCCACAGCTGTCCCCTCCGACATACGATCCTTTCCCTTACAACAGGTTGCCATTTTAAATCTTCAAGTTTAATATCTGCCATTGTACTGTTATGTCCAAAGCAAACTGGTGGTACTTAAACATACTGCCATTTCAAACATACATGCTTTAACAACATACTACCACTTCCAACATCAACACACACTGTCGCTTCCAACATCAACAGACACTGCCCCTTCCAACATCAACAGACACTGCCCCTTCCAACATCAACACACACTGTCGCTTCCAACATCAACAGACACTGCCCCTCCCAACATCAACAGACACTGCCCCTCTCAACATCAACAGACACTGCCCCTCCCAACATCAACAGACACTGCCCCTTCCAACATCAACAGACACTGCCCCTTCCAACATCAACAGACACTGCCCCTCCCAACATCAACAGACACTGCCCCTTCCAACATCAACAGACACTGCCCCTTCTAACATCAACAGACACTGCCCCTTCCAACATCAACAGACACTGCCCCTTCTAACATCAACAGACTGTCCCTTACAACACCAAGACACTGCCCCTTCCGACATCAAGACACTGTCCCTTACAACACCAAGACACTGTCCCTTCCAACATCAACAGACACTGTCCCTTACAACACCAAGACACTGCCCCTTCCAACATCAACAGACACTGCCCCTTCCAACATCAACACACACTGTCGCTTCCAACATCAACAGACACTGCCCCTCCCAACGTCAACAGACACTGCCCCTCCCAACATCAACAGACACTGCCCCTCCCAACATCAACAGACACTGCCCCTCCCAACATCAACAGACACTGCCCCTCCCAACATCAACAGACTACTGCCCCTTCCCAACATCAACAGACACTGCCCCTTCCAACATCAACAGACACTGCCCCTCCCAACATCAACAGACACTGCCCCTTCCAACATCAACAGCCCCTTCCAACATCAACAGACACTGCCCCTTCTAACATCAACAGACTGTCCCTTACAACACCAAGACACTGCCCCTTCCGACATCAAGACACTGTCCCTTACAACACCAAGACACTGTCCCTTCCAACATCAACAGACACTGTCCCTTACAACACCAAGACACTGCCCCTTCCAACATCAACAGACACTGTCCCTTACAACACTGCAGTCACACCTACTGTCCTTCCACCATCGAAGCCACCCCTCCTGCCCCTTCCAACACGCTGCTACTTCCAGCACCACTTCCACCGTACCTGCAGGAGAGAGAGAAAACAAGAACATAAAAACATCTGGCTAAAAACTCATTGCATATTCACGTCATTATACTTTCCGATTCAGTCATATCTCGTCACTTCCTTAAGTGATTAGTTTCCAATCAAATACTGCTTTAATCTGCAAGGAAAACAATGAATCAGCAGCAATCCATTAGCAACACTGGAATTGCAACGATCAACATCCTGCATAAGAAACAGTTCACAACAAAGAAGCATCAAAGGCCCTTGAGTTATTTGAAAGCATTTAGCGTAATGTTCTACCGGAAAGAAAACGAGTCAAATACTAACAGTTCAAGGAATTGCAATAACGGTTATATCAATATTAATACAACCAATAAAAATAATAATAATAATAATAATAATAATAATAATAGTAATAATAATAACAATAACGATGATAATAATAACAGCAACCGTCATAATAATAATAATAATAATAATAATATTAACAACAACAATAATGATATAAATAACAACAAATATAACCATGATAATAACAACAATCATATCAATAATAGTAACAATAAAAACAGCAGTATCAACATAAACAACAATAAATAATAATAATAATAATAATAATAATAATAATAATAATAATAATAAAATAAATAAATAAAAATCAATATCTTTCGGCATCCCACGACGGGACTTCACCCCCCCCACTCCCCCCCCTCTCCTTCCCTACAATGACCATAGGCTTACCCCCACCCCACCCCCCACCCCTTCCGCCATCTTAATATTCCCGACCACGTCCTGAGATGGAGGGAGAGGGGAGGGGGAGGGGGGAGGGGGGAGAGAAGAGAATCAAATAAGAGGGGAGAAAGGGAGGGAGAGATTGAGGATATGTGGAGGAAGGGAGTGGGAAGTCGAGAGAGAGAGAGAGAGAGAGAGAGAGAGAGAGAGAGAGAGAGAGAGAGAGAGAGAGAGAGAGAGAGAGAGAGAGAGAGAGAGAGAGAGAGAGAGAGAGAGAGAGAGAGAGAGAGAGAGAGAGAGAGAGAGAGAGGAGAGAGAGAGAGAGAGAGAGAGAGAGAGAGAGAGAGAGAGAGAGAGAGAGAGAGAGAGAGAGAGAGAGAGAGAGAGAGAGAGAGAGAGAGAGAGTGAGAGAGAGAGAGAGAGAGAGAAAAAAAAAAAAAAAACTATATACATATGTGTGCATGTGCATGTGTGCATGTACGTGTGCATGAGCATGAATGCGTATGGAGAAGAATTCAAGCGAACGAAGAAATCTCAAAAGAAAATAACCAATAACCACCTACCGAAGTGAAATATTGGAAGACAGATAGAGGGAGAGGGCGAGGAAATGGAAGAGGAAGAAAGAGAGAGACGTAGATGTATAGATGAATGGATGGGCAGATACATACATACATAGATAGAGATAGAGAGATAGACAGAAAGATAGATAGATAGATAGATAGATAGAGACAGATGGACAGACAGACAGAGAGATAGATAGATAGATAGATAGAGAGATGGACGGACAGACAGACAGATAAAGAGAGAGATAGACAGATAGATAGAGAAAAGAAAAGACAAACACATACACAGAAAAAAAAGGAGAAAGAAAGAGAGAAAAGACAAACAGACCATAAACAACACAAAATGAAAAGAAAGAAAAAAAAAAAAGCCTAAGCAACAACAGGCGAAGAGGGACCGTCCCCCCCACCTCTCCCCCCACCCCCCCCTCCACCCCCAATTTCGTCGTGATAACCAATTTTCCTGAGAGACAGAAGCCAATATGTTCTGCAACCAAGTGGGCGGCGGGGGCGGGGAAGAGAGGGGTGGGCGGTAGGGAAGGGAAGGGGGGAGAGGGACATGCGTTGCACATTATTGCATATTGACATTTCATTCCTTTTCTCGATTTTTTTTTTATCTCTTTCTCTCTCTCTCTCTCTTTTTGGATTTCCCCTTCGGCCAGTCTGACGGCGAAACGGCGCCATCTAGCGGCCAGTCAATAAAATAAGCTCTCAAAATAAACCTCCACCCCATCTATGTTCACCCCCCTCCCCCCATAACCCCTTCCTCCTAACCCCAACTACACCCTCCCTCCTCCCCTAACCCCAACTACACCCTCCCCCCCTAACCCCAACTACACCCTCCCCACCTCCCTTACAACCCCCCAACAAACCCCTTCCCCCCTCCCCTCCCCTCCCTTACAACCCCCCAACAACCCCCCCCACTACCCCCCCCCCCCCTCTTCGTGCACGATGAAAACCCAGGCTTGATTTGAAGCTCAGAAGGAGGAATGCTGATAGCGTTGACCAGTCATTAGGGCAGAAAAGGGGGAACGGGGGGGGGGGGGGGGAGGATAATTATGTTAGCCATAATACCGGTCACGTGGATAATAAGCATGGTAATAATAATAATATCGGCAGCAGTGATGGTGGCAGAAGGTAATGATAATGATGGTGATAGTAAGGGTGATGATGATGATGATGATGGAGATGGTGATGATGATAATGATAAAAACAACAACAACTATAGTAATAATAATAAAAAGATAATAATAACAAAAATGATAATAATAATAAAAAGATAATAATAACAAAAATGATAATAACAATAACAACAACAGCAATAGTAATAGTAATAATAATAATAATAACAAACAACTATAATAATAATAATAATAACAATGATACCATCATTTCCATTCCCCCCCCCCATAATCATCCTAATCAACGCCACAACTCCCACCAATATCAACAACCAAACCAATCCCCGCCTGCCTTCTTTATATTCGCAATCCTAACTTGCAACCCCCCCCCTCCCTCGCAACACACGCGGCGGAGTCACCCCATCCGGCGCCATTCACCTCTGGACGCCGCTGTCAACAAAATCATTTCTATTCATGCTACATCATCAGCCTCCCCCCACCCCACCCCACCCCCCATACCCCACCACATCCCCTCTTCAGCCTCCCCCCCTCCCCTCCGCCCACCCCACCACATCCCCTCTTCAGCCTCCCCCCCCCTCCGCCCACCCCATCACATCCCCTCTTCAGCCTCCCCCCCCCGCCCACTTTCCCCTCCCCATGACGCCCATCCCTTCATGAATTCGCCCACGCTTCAAGGCAGGTTTGTAATTAATTCAATCGGCCAGGGCTAAACGTGTACACACATAAGCATACATGCATGTGCATGTGCATCCACGTGTGCATGTCCGTGTGCGTGTGCATGTGCGTGCGCGTGTGCGTGCGCGTGTGCATGTGCGTGTGCGTGCGCGTGTGCATGTGCGTGCCTGCATCCCCATCCTATACAACCCGAGACGCGAGCACCAGTCCCATCCGCACAGTCCTGGGCGCGGCCGTCAGAGCAGGTTGAGAATGTGCAAAGCATGTCTGTGCATACGGAGGGCAAGACGCTGCCACCTCCTCTGACAACGGCGGTTTGCAACACTGCAGAGGAGAGTATTGCTCGCTCGCGGGATTGCTGTATACGTAATCCTCCTTCATTCTTCTCAACTCCCTTTTCCTCTTCCTCTTCCCTTCTCTGTCTCTTTCTCCTCTCTCCTTCCCCTTCCCCTTCTCCCTCCCCCCATCCCTCTCCCTCTCTATGGTGTTGGTGGTGGAGGGGGAAGGGGAGGGGGAGGGGGAAGGGGTGGTGGAGGGGAAAGTGGAGGTGGAAGGGGAAGTGGAGGGGGAAGGGGAAGGGGAAGGGGAAGGGGAGGGGGAGGTGAAGGGGGGAGGGGGAGGTGGAGTAATAAGAGTAAGAGTCCGAGAAAATTAAGAGTAATAAACAAGCCCCCCGCCCCCCCCCCCCTCCCCTCGCTTTATTCTGCCACTGACACAAATATTTTCTCACTTCATTTAACACGTTTTCCTTTTAACCCAGAGACGAGAGAATAAAAAGCTTAAAAAAAAGAAAGAAAAAAAAAATAAGCGAAAAACAGAAAGGAAGAAAGAACGAAAGAAAGAACAGAAAATGCGAATGAAAATTCTTAAAAAGTGAATAAATTAATCGTCAAACAAGACAATAACGTAAATGGAAGAAAAAAAAATAATAAAATAAAAAATAAACACAGACAGTAGAATCATTTCAAAAGTTTTAGTTTTTTTCCCACTTTTGAGCGTTTTACTTCATTTATATTCAGTGACTATTTACTTCTATTTTTCCCTTTCTTTCTTTTCTGTTATGAATCGAGAAAGAAAAGGAGCTTCATTATCTATAAATATCATATCCAGATAAACAAACAGACAGACGGATTAGATATATATGGACACATAGATAACATTTACGTCATTTTATATATACACATCCCTCTTTTCTCTCTGCCTCGAGATGAAAGAAGCAGCATCTCCTTCTAAATCACAATAGAAATATCACAATGATTGACGATATCATAAATCATGTATGAGTGACTCCCTCTGACATCCAGGAAAGGCTTAGCAGTCACCGAGCTACACATATAATTATTTTTCTTTTTCCCTATTTCCTTCTAGCTTTTTTTTTCTCTCTCTTTTTTATTTTCTTTCTTTCTCTTTTTCTTATTCTCTCTCTGTTTCTCTGTCTCTGTCTCTCACTCTCTCCCTTTCCCTTCCCACCCTCTAAAATCAAACCTGCTCCCACCTCCTTTACCTTCCCCTCCCCTCCTTCCCCTCCCCCTCCCTTTCCTCCCACCATCCATCCATCCTTCCCCCCTTCCCCTCTCTCCATCTTTCCCCCCTCCCCCTCTCTCCATCCCTCCCCTCCCTTTCCTTCCCCTCCTTCCCTCCCTCCCCTTCCTTCCCCTCCTTCCCTTCCCCTCCCTACCCCCCCTCCCCGCCCTTTCCCAAAAAGTGCAGAAATCCCTTCTATTATTAGACGGTCCCGAATCCTCTCTATAAATCGCGCCAACCATAAGCCTTGTCGCAATAGCTAGGTATTACCGGTGATTCACGGGGTGTGTAGAGGGCGACGGCAGCGCCACGAGTCGAGCGGCGGCGGCGCGGCGAACTACAAGGAAGTCCGTCTCATCCGGATTATTAACATTTTTTTTTTCTTTTTTTTTTAATCTTTTCTTTTCTTTCTTTCCCTTATTAAGAATATGAACGAAAATCACGTGCCTCGTCCTCCATCCATCGAAATAATACCAACTCTTAGGCGCTGTTCATGCTACGTCTTTGGCATATTCGGGAGAAAAGAAAAACAAGTAAATACTAGAAGTTACACCGAATTTCGAAATTAAGAAAAAGAAAGAAAAGAAACGAAAAGAAATGAAACGTAAATCCCAAAATCCATATAATCATAGCAATCTACTAATTCAAAGTAAAATATATCACAGCAGTGCAAATGCAGGGTAAGAAATGATGATAATAATAATAATATTAATAACAATAATAAAAACCACATAAACGAATGAATGGGAGACCGAAATATATAACGAAAATGCATAAAAAGCCTTTAAAAATATGAAAACGAAATCAATGGAGATAATTTTATAAAAAGTGATAATAATAATATTAATAAAACACAGGCGAAAAAAATAGAAGATAAAGAAAATAAATAAGAAAAAGACATACGCGAATAAACACGAGTTGGAAAAAAAATGTTTATAAGAACAAATAAACCAGATGAACACGCGGTAAAAATAATAACAAAATAAACAACGAATAAACAAGGGGTTTAAAATGAACGACAATAAAATATTCACAAACGCATAAATCAAGTAAAAAAAAAAATATCCACATAATTACGAAGACGAGTTACAAAGGGAAGATAAACAAATAATGACAAAGACCCGTAATTAACGACTGCAATTAACGTGGTTTATCTCATACTTACTGCTTTTATTACTTTTAATCTTTCTTTCCACGTCATTTCTTCTTCTTTCTTCTTTTACTTTTATCTTAAATTTCTTTTCCTTAAGTTAGGATGGGAATCGAATCATGTTGTTGTTATCATTTCGTTGTTGTTTTTATGTTACACTTGTTATCATCAATTTGGAGATGATGATTGTGATAAGGAATATAAAAATAGTGATAATAACAGATAGAACAGGTATATTGATAGATAGCTATAGATACAAATACAAAGAGAGAGACAGATACAGATACAAGTACAGATGCAAACACAGATACAAACAAACACAGACACAGACGCAAATACAGACACAGACACAGACACAAATACAGACACAGACATAAATACAGACACAGACACAAATACAGACATAGATACAAACAAAGATATACCAAAACACCCAATACCGTACCCCCCCCCCCCCCATATACAAACAACGATGACCTAATCCCTCCCCTCCCCCCCTCTTCCCCCGTATCGACCTTCCCCTTTACCGAATCCCTCCCCCCCTCCCCCTCCATCTCACCCAAATAGAGAAAAAAAAAGAGAGAAAAGAGAAAACAAAAAACGGAAAAATAAAGAAAAAAGAAAAAAGGGTTAAGAAGAAACAAAATAAATAAAGAAAAAAAGAATAAATAGGTAAAACGAAAAAAATAAATAAGAAGAGAGAGAGAGAGAGAGAGAGAGAGAGAGAGAGAGAGAGAGAGAGAGAGAGAGAGAGAGAGAGAGAGAGAGAGAGAGAGAGAAACATTTGGCTTTCCGTCCGCAGCGAATCCGTCACGGCGCCCTGGCATGGCAGTGACAGGGGGCAGCACCATACATCTTGCGGCGACACTGTAAATCATCCTGAACTATGGACAGCTGTGACACTACTGTTGTAATCTCTTTTATTTTCTTCTTTTTTTCCCAATTCTCTTCCTTCTTTTTTTATCTTCATTTTTTTCGGGTCGAGTTTTTTCTTCTTGATTTTTATCCTATTTTTTCTATTTTCTTCCGTATTTTCATTTCATTCTTCCTTTATCTTTCTTTCTTTCTTTTTTCTTATTCCTCTTCCACTTCCCGGAGAGCTGTAACACTACACTTCTTTCTTCTTCATCATCTTCTTCTTTTTCTTTTTCTTTCTTTTTTTTTCAATTCCTGGATTTGAAATGCGTGCGTGGTCCGTGATTGCCTATTTTCTTGTTTCTTGTGTTGTTGATGTTATTACTGATTTTTATTTGGATTGTCTCTACAGAATTACAAACCTCTTTTCCAAATGATAAAAAAACATAAGCTTTTTTTTTTTCTTAATTCTATTTTAATTCTATTTTTTTCTTCACTTGTCTCAAAACACCCTCTCCTTATATCGAAAAAAATAAATTAAAAAAATAATAATAAATAAATATTGTCTGATTACTACAAACTCAAAACACCCTCTCCTTATATCGAAAAAAAATGTGTTTATCTCCACTAACAATAACACAAACGACAGCACAAAGGCCAAGGCAAAATCGACCTTCTACGCCACAAGGGAACACTTCCTATACGTCAGACTTTGGCAATTGATAGATTTTTTTTCTTACTCTAAGGCTCCATTTTACCTAAATTTACGCTTTTCCTTTGTGATAGTAAGGTGTATATATGAGAAAGGGAGGGAAGGAGGGAGGGAGGGAGGGAGGGAGGGAGGGAGGGAGGGAGGGAGGGAGGGAGAGAGGGAGAGAGAGAGGGAGAGAGAGAGGGAGAGAGAGAGAGAGAGAGAGAGAGAGAGAGAGAGAGAGAGAGAGAGAGAGAGAGAGAGAGAGAGAGAGAGAGAGAGAGAGAGAGAGAGAGGGGGGGAGGGAGCATATAATTCGTTTTCTTGGAAAATGCACCCTGTCCTATTGCTCGCTTTCTCTCTCTCTCTCTCTCTCTCTCTCTCTCTCTCTCTCTCTCTCTCTCTCTCTCTCTCTCTCTCTCTCTCTCATTCCTGTCTGTTGATTCCAAACACAGATATTTTAATATTTAGTACTATCTGTCTCCCTGTCTGCCTGTCTCTCTTCCTTCCTCTCCCCGCTCCCTCCTCCCCTCCCCCCTCTCTCTCGGATTACTCTCCCTCTCCGGCTAAACAAGTGTCTTAAGCGTCGTGGCTCTTATCAACTCCGCTTATCTCATTAAAACCAAGCTATCTATTATCGGTATCTTCCCCTCCTCACCTTCCACTCGTCCTAATCTTTATCTCGGGCTCATCAACTCATCCGAAACGAAGCAATCATTACGAAATACACTTAGATTAATCAGTGATCGAGAGGGAGAGTGAGGGAGGGAGAGAGAGGGAGGGAGGGAGAGAGGGAGAGTGGGAGAGAGAGTGGGGGGGAGAGAGAGAGAGAGAGAGAGAGAGAGAGAGAGAGAGAGAGAGAGAGAGAGAGAGAGAGAGAGAGAGAGAGAGTGGGCAGTGGGAGATGGTAGAGGGGAAGGAAAAAAATGAAATGAGGGAGAAAATAACAGAAACATTATGTTTTTTTTTTTTTCTTTTTTTTTGTCTCTTCCTAATCTTTGCAAACTAAGTGACACCAATATAGCCTGTATCTTCGCTACGCAAGACTTTTTCATTCTCTCTCTCTCTCTCTCTCTCTCTCTCTCTCTCTCTCTCTCTCTCTCTCTCTCTCTCTCTCTCTCTCTCACTCCATCTCCCTCCCTCCCTCCCCCCACCTTCTCGTTCTCCCTGTCCCTTCCCTTCCCTTCCCTCCCTCTCGTCCACTTGTCCTCCCTCCCTCCTCCTCTCTCCCTCCCCTCCCTCCTCCTCCCTTCTCCCTCTCCATCGAAGTGGCGCTGACTAGACATTTCCTTAGTCGAGCCAAAAAATATTATTCCCTCTGCTATATTTCACTCCAGGTCCCGCCTCCATAACAGCAGCGACTCTCCTCTCATTCCTGACTCTCCTTGTGGTGACTTTCCTTACTGTCAACTCTCCTTCCCAGGGCGACTCTCTTATTTGTTAACTCTCCCTCCTTCCGATGATGACTTCCTTCTCACAGTGATTCTCCCTACGATGACTTTCCTTACGTGCCCTCACAATGACTCTCCGGCAATGCTCCCCCTTTTAATGACTCTCCCTTACAGTGGCTCTCCCTTACAGTGGTTCTCCCTTACAGTGACTCTCCCTTACAGTGGCTCTCCCTTACAGTGGTTCTCCCTTACAGTGGTTCTCCCTTACAGTGGATTCTCCCTTACAGTGGATTCTCCCTTACAGTGGATCTCCCTTACAGTGGATCTCCCTTACAGTGATTTTCCCTTACAGTGACTCTTCCTTAGTGACTCTCCCTTACAGTGACTCTCCTTTACAGTGACTCTCCCTTACAGTGACTCTCCTTTACAGTGACTCTCCCTTACAGTGACTCTCCCTTACAGTGACTCTCCTGGGCCGCCCTCTCTCTACGATCACAACAGCCCTTCTCAGCTGCTCACTTGCTTCTAAGGGACTAAGGGGCCGCTGTGATGGGATACCCTAAGGGGCAGCTAATGACACCGGGTCTTAATAGAACGAGTGTTAAGGGTTAATGGAGAGCATGTTGAGGGGACTAAGGGGAGGGAGGAGAGGAAGGGGGGGTTGAGGGGAAGGCATGAAAGGGTAGAGAAGACGGAGCGAAAGGGGAGGGAGAGAGGGAGCGAAGGGGAGGGAGAGAGGGAGGGAGGGATGGAGGGTGAGATAGAGAGGAGGGAGAGGGAGGAAGAGGGAGGGAGGGAGGGGGAGGGGAGAGAGAGAGAGAGAGAGAGAGGAGAGAGAGAGAGAGAGAGAGAGAGAGAGAGAGAGAGAGAGAGAGAGAGAGAGAGAGAAGAGAGAGAGAGAGAGAGAGAGAGAGAGAGAGAGAGAGAGAGAGAGAGAGAGGAGAGAGAGAGAGAGAGGGGGAGGGAGAGAAAGTGTGAGTATGGAAATAGAGGAGGGTGTGGGCAAGAGGGAGTTAGGAGTATGAAAGGGGGGGGGAGGGGGAGGAGGAGGGTAAAGGACTCCCGTTAAACGAATAGCATTTAAAGGGGCTGTCACGGTGAGGCCCTCTGCCCCCGTGTTTTAAAGGGGCTACAACACGAGTTTCCTCCCCCCCCCTCCCCCTCCCCCTCCCCCTTCCCTTCTCTCTTCCCCCCCCCCCCTCTCTCTCTTTACAGGACGTGGAAGACGCGAGATCGCAACGAAGTCAATATACTACGGCGGGAAACTACAAGGAGATGGGGAGGGAGGAGGGGGGGAGGGGAGGGAGGGAGGGAAGAGAGGGAAATAACAGGAGACGAAAACAGGGGGAAGGGAGGGAAATAATGGAAGGAGAAAAGTAGAGGGCGGGGGGGAGGGAGGGAGGGAGGGGGAAAGGAATATAACGAGAAGGAGAGACGAGACAGTCAGACAGACAGACAGAGGGAGGGAGAGAGGGAGGGAGGGAGGGAGAGAGAGAGAGGAAGGGAGAGAGAGGGGGAGGGAGAGGGAGAGGGAGAGAGAGAGAGAGAGAGAGAGAGAGAGAGAGAGAGAGAGAGAGAGAGAGAGAGAGAGAGAGAGAGAGAGAGAAAGCGAGAGAGATAAAAAAAAAATAGCCAAACAAACAAACAAACAAACAAAAATAAATAAACAAATAAATAAAGGAAAAAAGAGAAAGTTAACCAAAAAGAAAGAAACCGAAATAGAAAGAAAGAAAGCGAGGAGAAAATCAGCAATGACTTCGAAACAACAACGTGGAGAAAGAGAGGAGAGGGCAGGGGGAGGGAGAAAGGGGGAGGGAGGGAGGGGGAAAGGGGGAGGAGGGGGGGGATCACGACTACAACTACGACTCGGTAAATGGAAAGAAATGGTGTCGTTGCCCCGAGGCTGGATCTCGGAGGCGATGCGTGTGATATTCAGCACAAAAAGCGATTGAGAGGAGGGAGGGAGGGAGGGAGGGAAGGGAGGGGAGGGAGGGGAATGAGGGACGAAGGGACGGAGGGAGGTAGGGAGGGGAGGGAAGGAGGGAGGGAGAGAGGGAGGGAGGGGAGGGGAAGAGGGAGGGAGGAAGAGATGGGAGGGAGGAGAGGGAGGGAGAGAAGGGAAGGCAGGAGAAGGAGGGAGGAAGAAATGGTAGGGAGGGAAGGGAGAGAAGAATTGATAGGAATGAGTGAGAGATGAGAGGGACGGAGGGAAAGGAGGGAGATGAGAAGGAGAGATGAGATGGAAGACAGAGAAGGGGGGAGGGAGAGATGAGAGGGATAGAGATGAGAGAGAGAGAGAGAGAGAGAGAGAGAGAGAGAGAGAGAGAGAGAGAGAGAGAGAGAGAGAGAGAGAGAGAGAGAGAGAGAGAGAGAGAGAGAGAGGAGGGAAGGATGGGAGAGAAGGAAGAAATGAAAGGAAGAGGAGAAGAAAAAAAAGAAACAAAACATTTAAACCTTTAGTAGATAAAAACCTCGCCTTACTAGTAAAAAAAAATCAAAAGAATATTTAAAAAATAATAATACAAACAATAATAACAATAATCATAATAACCGAAGGAAAATAAGCACGTCGAAACCATAATGTTTTTCTTTTTTGGTTTCCCCCCTATCCCTATCCCCTCTTTCCCTATCCCTCCCTTTCTCCAACCCCTCTTTCCCCATCCTCCCCTATCCCCATCCCTCCATCCCCCCCCCCCCATCCCTCTTACCTCCACCCAGTTCTCTTCCCTCTTTCCCTCAAAAAAGTGGGAGGGGGAAAGGAGGAGGGAAAAGGAAGGGGAGGGGGAGGGGGCAGAGAAAGGGGGAGGCAGAGAAGGGGAACGGAAATGGAGAAGAAGGAAGGGAAGGAAACGAAAAGAAAAGGAAGGCAAGAGATGGGAAAGACAGTGAACTATATAGAGGGAATAAGAGGAAGAGAGTGTTGAGATGGGGTGGGGATGGGGGAAGGGGGAAGGGGGAAGGGGGGAGGGGAAGGGAGGCCAAAGATGCTCCCAATTCGAGCTACGTTTAATTAAAGGCGAAGTTTACTCCGCCGGAAGGATTAAGACCTCCCCCCCCTCCCTTCCCCTTCCCCATCCTCCCTACCCCCCACCTCCCCACCCCCGCTCGCCTTTGCTATAACCGTTTTTTCTTCGTTTTCTTCGCTTTAGTTTTTTCGCAAGTGGAGTTTGGGTTTTATAAAAGACACGACTTGCTTACGCTATACATGCCAGAAGGGATTATCGGCATGGCAGCTGAATGGTCGGAATGGTAGAAGAGATAACTGGAGAAAATGTGGTAAAAGTGTCAGTTAATAACAGGAGGAGGAGGGTAGTAGTAGTAGTAGTATTAATAGCTGATAAAGTTACCCCTAATAATATTAATAATAATAATAATAATAATAATAATAATAATAATAATGATAATAATAATAACAATAATAATAATAGTAATGATAAGATTATCGCTAATTATAATAATAATAAAAACGATAAAATTATCCCTAATAATAGTAGTAGTAGTTACAACATCCCTAACGATAATAGTAGTAATAGTAGTAGTGATAAGAGTATCCCTAACAATAGTTGACTGGAAATAGTACTAGCAGTTGTAGTTGTAAAAGGGGTAGTAATGGCAGAAGTAGAAGCAGTAGCTGTTGTTGTAGTAGTAAAAATATTTTGGGGGCAATGACATCATCCAGACAAATACCAAAGCTTGTATTTCTCTCTTTCTGGTTCTCTTGTCTCTCTCTCTGTCTCCCTCTCCTCTCTCCCTTCTTACTCTCCACCCCCTCGCCCCCCACCCCCATCAAAAAAAAAAAAAAAAAAAAAAAAAAAAAAAAAAAAAAAAAACTCACCCATTCCTAATTGCATTTATCAGTTAATTTATGTCCTTATCTTCCCAAAAAGCCGGCGTCCGCTTAATGCCCTTTTCGGATTTCGAAGAATTAGTCCTCGAAATGATGCACTGGCGCCCGAGGGATTACTCTGGGATTTACCGCGCCCGGATTTACACTTAAATCATCGGTGATAATCGATGTTAAAGCGAAAGTTTGTGTTTGGATTCCCCTGCATTTTCCCCCCTTCCTTCGTGTATGTGTGTGTGTGTGTGTGTGTGTGTGGGAGAGAGAGAGAGAGAGAGAGAGAGAGAGAGAGAGAGAGAGAGAGAGAGAGAGAGAGAGAGAGAGAGAGAGAGAGAGAGAGAGAGAGAGATGGAGGGGGTAGGGATAGAAAGAGAAAGAGAGAGAGAGCGAGAGAGAGAGAGAGAGAGATGGAGGGGGTAGGGATAGAAAGAGAAAGAGAGAGAGAGCGAGAGAGAGAGAGAGAGATGGAGGGGGTAGGGATAGAAAGAGAAAGAGAAAGAGAGAGAGAGAGAGAGAGAGAGAGAGAGAGAGAGAGAGAGAGAGAGAGAGAGAGAGAGAGAGAGAGAGAGAGAGAGAGAGCACCCACTCCCTCCCAAACCTCCGATTGCCTTCGCTCTTCTAATTTCCTCAAATTAACTCTCCATTCCTTTCCCCTTCTTCGCCGTTTCATTCCCCTCCTCTCCCCTCTCCTCACTCCCTTTCTTTTCCTCTCATCTCACGCCCATTAGTTCACCATTTTCTCTTATTCCTCTTCGTAATGTCTCATTTGTCCACTTCATTCTCCTCTTTATCTCCTCTTTTTTTCTTCGTCCCCAACTTCCATTTCTCAAATATCTCTTCCTCCTTTTTTTTTTTTTTGCACATTTCCAATTCCTCCTCTCTTCTCCTTCTCCTTCACTTTCACTCATTTTTCATCTTTCATCTTCCTCTTCCTCTTTTCATCCTTATTGACAAGATCCCACCTCCCTGTCCTCCCCCTCCGACCCCCTCCCCCCTCCCCCACACCTCCCCCTCCTCTTCCCTCCCCTTTCCTTCCCCCATGCATCACCCTCCCCTCCTCTTCCCTCCCCTAGATCTCAAATTCCCTCGCCTCTCCTCCCCTTCCCTTTCCATACTCCCAACCCTCCCTCCCCTTCCCTCCCCTCCTCCCACTCTACCCTCCTCTTCCCTTCTCTCCCCCCACCCCTTCCCCTCCCCTCCCCTCCACCCCAGCTCCCATCTCCTCCCTCCTCCCTTCCCACCCCTTCATCCCTCCCCTCCCCTCCCCTCCACCCCAGCTCCCATCTCTTCCCTCCTCCCTTCCCACCTCTTCATCCCTCCCCTCCCCTTCCCCCGCCATCCGTCACAGCCGCCTGGAGAGATGACATTTAAATGCGTCAACTCGACTGCGTAAAATGGCGTCTTTTCAGCCATCGTCTCCCAGTTGTCGGCCGGAGGAAAGGTGGCCTCTGACCCTCGGTGACCTCGGTTTGGAGTGTCTGTCTGTCTATTTGTCTGTCTGGTTGTTTGTCTGTCTGGCTGTCTGTCTGCCTCCCAACCTCTCTCTCTCTCTCTCTCTCTCTCTCTCTCTCTCTCTCTCTCTCTCTCTCTCTCTCTCTCTCTCTCTCTCTCTCTCTCTCTCTCTCTCTAAATCGGTCTTCCTCATTCTTCAGTCTGACATTAGACTTTTTTCGGTCAATGAATAAATA